AAGAAAAAAAAAGGCTAGACTTCCGCTCAGCAAATTAGCTCACACCCTGGGAAGCACTCCAGAGCTGAGACCCACGGAAGGAACCTTAAATTCACATCCTCCTTTCAGGCTTTGGGGGGGTGGGGCGGGGAGGGCATCGCAGACCACGGCCCACTCTTTAAAGTTTTGGTGTTGTGTTTTGTTTGCTGCTATTTAGAGCTTATGTAATTGAGTTTGCATCATCTGTGCAGAGAATGCAGCTGTATTGTAAAAGAGTAAGTTTTAGCACTTACTCAAAATGTTGTTTGTCCCATCAGAGTAGACAAAACACATGAGCCCTGTGCAGTGCCTGGCACTTCACAGACCGCCAGTAAAAGCTGATCACTGTCCCCTCCTCATCTCATAGTCTCAAATTTTACCTCCATGTGATTCCATCTGCAAGGAGACCCCAGCCCTGGCCTCTGAGTTTAGGAGATGGATTTCCTCTCCTTAAACTCACTGTTCCAGAGCCAAATTCATCACCTTCCCCTCTGCTTCGCTTTATCTTAAGATCAGGAGAGCCAAGTTCAAATGTGAGCTCCTCCAGTTTCTCTCAGTGACTTTGAGCACGTCACCTAACCATCACACCCAGGCATTCTGGCCGCAGGGGCTTTTCACTGGAACTCCCACTCCTTTGGTTCATTCGGCAAATAGTTTTACCTCCATAACAGCATGATGACTGAGTCTAATTTAAATTGACAGCTAGGAAAACAGATGGTGACCAAGACAATGACATCTGTGTTCACAGAGCTCAAGTCTGTTAGAGGATAAAGACAAGTGAATGGACAATGATGACAGAGTATAACTGGTCCTTTGCGGCGGGAGGATAGGGAACATGTGAGCTCAGTCCCCAACCCAAATGTAAAATGTCAGGAGAGAATCCCTACGGCGTATCCAGGATGAATCCCGAACAACAAGCATGAATTTGCAGTTGAGGAAAGGGTGGGAGTGTTTCTGCAAAAGCAAGCAGCATGTGGTGAGGACCCGCCCGCACAAAAAAGAACCTGCCACATCCCAGGAAGCGGGGGTCCAGTGTAGCCAGAGTGTGCAATGCCTGACGGGAGCAGGAAGGATGGAGAGGAGAGAGGAGGGATGCAGAGTTCACAGCATGCCCTCTGGGCAGACCTGGCAGAGGGTCACGTTTGATTCTGTTCTCAGTGGAGGAAGAACAAGAGGTGCCGGTGACCTGAACCCGCCCGGTGGAGACGGGAGGGAGCAATCGCTGGAGGAGAGCATAGGGTTATGGCAAGTGTTCTTGAGTGTTTTTGGTTTTCCTGTTGTTTTGAGATAGGAGACAACGTTCATTTTAAGTAATGGTGGGAAGGAGCTAAGAAAGCGAGAGAGGTAAGATTCAGGAAGCGAAACCTCTAAGAGGATGTGGGAGCACCTGCCTGGAGAGAGGATGGGGTGGTGCCGATGGGCCCCGAAGCGTTTCTGGAAGGGACTCTGCAGAACTGCCTGTGTAGCACTTTGTTCTCTGAAGTCGCCGAGGTCTTCTGCTGAGCCTGAGGTGGCGGAGGTGGCCCCAAACCGTCACGTTCATGTAGCGGTAACATTGAGGGCAACACGCAACCCAGTTGTTTACTTAGGGTTTTTGAGTATCAGGAGGGAGAGGTCCAGGATGCTCTGATAATGTGAAAATGAGAAACAGGGTCAGGAGAGATGCTCTCGAGGAAGAGTTCCTTGAGCTGAGCCCTGAAGGACGTGTCAGAATTACCTGGGGCTTCGGGTGAAGGGGAGCTTGAGGCAGGAGGAAAGTTGGGGATCAGATGCCACAGAGCTTTCTAAGCCATGTCACGATTTGAATCCTGTTCAAAAGAGCCGCTAGAAACTACGTTTCCAAGAGCGTTAGGCAAGGGAGCGCAGGTCAGAGCAGCTCTGAGAAGCCCACGCTGGCGGCTGAGCAGGCGGGGAGGCTGACCCAGCAGAGGAGGCACAAAAGGTCATCTCTTGAACTCACGGGCAGCTGTGGTGAGGCGCAGATCTGAGGATGCTTCCGAGGGAAAAGGGACAGCCTCCGGCAACTGTCTGATTACATGGATGTGCCAGAGTAGTGGAGACTCCAGGTGTGAGGAAAGAGGAGTTGGAGGACTGAGTTGACCATCTGGAGATCCGGGGAATGCAACTGGTAAGGGAAACAGAGTAACAGCTGGGGGCACGGTGGTGCATGCTGCTGCTCCGGGCTTGCGTGGCTTTTCCGCAGTCCCACGTGGATGTGGGGAAGAGCTGTGAGCCCATCTTAGGAGGGAAGTTTCCTCCACAAGTGTGATCAAAGGCCAGCGTGCAGGAGCCTTCAGGGAGAGATTATGGCCCATGGATGTGAAGACACGAAGGACTGTCAGGTTGAAAGGGAAGGAGAGAAAACACAGGAGGTCCTCTGGATAATAGGCGTGGGAGAGGTGCCTGCGTGAGAGATCGGAAAGGATCAGAGATTGAAATCACACTGGAAAGTCTGAGTTTAATACTTTAGTAACAAAATAGCTCCCAGTGAGGGCAGAGGCAGGGTTTGCCTAAGTGGCTGAAGTGAAGGTAGCAGGGAACGTTGCCAGTGCTCAGGCATCAGGGAAGTAAGAGGGTGGGTACATTCTGAAGGGTATCCCCAGGGGTGTTGAAGCCACCCAAGTTGGTGGCAGGATTGGGGTGCAGAGAGTGGCGAGTGGTGGTCCCACACAGGGCGGGACTGACCACTGGGAGCACTGTGGACATCTGCAAAGGCACTTTTTTCTTTTTCTTTTTTGTTAATGTTGAGTGGCTGAGGCCCCCAGGGACGTAGACTTGACATTTCTACGGAACAAAAATCTGACCCACATCCCACATGACGTCCAAATGTGCTGGACGCTCAGGGACTGAAGAGATGACTCAGCTGCCCCGTCCCACAGGGATGCTTATGCTGTATCTGCACATACATCGCAGCTCCTTTGTAAGATTTGTTTTCTCTGCTTTGATAGTCTTGACGTGTTGCGTCCCTGTTTCCGTATTAAGGCTGGTTTTTTTCTTTCTTTTTTCCCCTCTTCCCCTATCACATGCCAGTAGGACGTCTCTGTGGTTTCTCTCTAGTTGCTGGTCTCTGTTCTTATGTCTGCCTGTACCTCTGGGCTGTTGTCTTCCTGTGCTTTCTTGTACAGAACGGTTCCAGATCTTATGACTTCAAAGTCCAAACTTATTTATTACAAGTAGGTGCAGACATCTGACTTCATTTTCTTCAGTCACGCCCAAGTATTTACATACTGATAAATGCCCACTGTTTTATTATAAATTACTTTTTTTTTATCTTTTCTGTATCACAGTCGGGGTATTATATGAATTTGGAGGGAGAAGTCGATATGCCCTTGTGAGTTACATTAGCTGGGAATGCCATTTCAGGATCCAACTGGGATAATACAGAGTATTTTAAAAAGAGAGAGTTGAGGAGCGCCGTCTCAGGGAATTGGTGCGTGACAACAGTGTGTGGGAAGGTGGACGGTGGTTGTGAATAACCAGCTGGGGGACGGGTCCGGTTACACAGGGTAGCACAGTCCCCAACTCCAGCATCTTCATCTTCCCTCAGACTGCCCTCTGCCCGGGATGCCCACCCAACTCTATTCTGCCCACCTGTATGTTCTTTATTGTCCGGAATAAAACCTCAGTCTTCTCAAAGCTTGGGAGAGTGAGCAGGCAAAGGAACGAACACGTGACCACCTGGACGCTGTGCTGGTTACTAGCCATAAAGCGAGCATAATTCCTTTTAGAATTAGAACGAAGTGCACCCAAGGCTCGAAGCCTCTAACTTGCCTGGTGTCTTGTCCTTTCAGGAATACCACAACAAATGTCACAGCCCAGGTGGCTTGTGAACCACAGAAGTCAATTTCTAATGGTTCTGGAGGCTGGAGGTGGGGGTCGGGGTGCCAGCAGGGTGGGGTGGGGTGAGGACTGTCTTCTCTCTCCATGTCTGCACGTGGCCAGAGAGCTCTGTGAAATCTTATGTCAGAGCACAGATCATACTGATGGTGGCTCCACCCTTGTGACCTGAGACTCTCCCAAAGGCCCCAGCTGCCCACAGCATGACATTGGGGCAGCAGGGTTCAACCTGTGAATTTAGGGGGACACAGACACTCTGACCACAGCATCCAGCATCACCTGGTGAGGAAGGAACGAAAATGGGGATCTGACAGTCTGGCCCTGCAGCTCGTGTTCTGCTCAGCGCATGACCCCCCGTCACTGAGTAGACCCCAATGGCAGGGCTGTGAGAAGCCAGCTGTCTGGGGCTTCCAACTTCTGATTTTGGACACATACTTGAAACCACTCTTTGTTCTCTGGCCCGTCTCTAACTTTGACTCTCCCAACCCAGTTACTTTCTTTGAAGGCAGACTTCACTTACCATCTTTTATTCTCCAAGCATTTACTGTATGCCTTGCTCATTAGAGGCATTTAGTGTGGACACGTTGGCTGATGTAAATATGTGTGGTCTTTGCAAGTTTTCTAATGCTTAAGGACCAACTGAGAACACGATGTGTTGGAGAGGATCTTGATGGTGGAAATATACAGATGGCTCTACAAATTTAAAATGCATAATTAGGTCTGCATGTAAAATAAAGTCAAGTTTAAAGATTTTCTTTTACTGAGATCTAGAAACGTCTGAAGTTGAAAAGATTCCTATCCAGACTGTGCGATTTACTTTTTTTCAGGTTCACCTTTTTTTAAGCTCTTCTGGGTACCATTACTTGTTAATGTACCCAGATGCTCTTGAGTATGTTTCACTTAAAACACACGGATGTCTAGTCTTTTGAATGGAAAAGTGGGGATTTAAATTTAAAAAGCAAAGAAGCAATCAAAGAACGCCTGGCTTTCTCTTCTGTACAACTTAACCAGAGACAATCTCTTTACTTGGGATGCAAGTGAAATTGGACACATGCTTTCATGGCTTACTTATGGATTCATGTCAATTACAGCAGCATATGTACGGTGTTCGTTTAGGAATGAATTTCTGTTATTCTGTTTTTCAGGTCCTGTAGGGGTGGGTTTGAATGAGCTGAAACGGAAGCTGCTGATCAGTGACACACAGCACTACGGAGTGACGGTGCCCCGTAAGTCCCGTGCTGTTCGATGCTCCTGCGGTGACACTAATGACTGCCCAGCACTTGACAGTGTGCATGGTGCCAAGCCCCGCTGTGCGCGGTCGCCACCTAGACCTCACAGCAGCCCTCAGCAGTATAGAGGGACTCTGTCCACGTGTTACACAGGAGGACACTGAGGCACCAGAGTTAAGGGATTTGCCCCAGATTACACAGACCACTGGCGGGGTGTTTGCTGATGACACCTTCCCTAGTCTTAATTTTTACAGTGAGTTTAGATACATGTATGACATCAAATCATTACATACAGCTTTTCTTCTCAACAGAAGTCTATTCTGTTTCTTAAATTTCCAGAGTTTTCCACGAGCTTTAAGATTTGAAGGACCAAACACAGAGAGCGGAAGGAAGGTTATACAAACATTTCTTAATTACTCTTTATACTGTAGTAATCAGCAGATAGTAAAATGGCCCTTTTGTGGCCACAGAATCCCAATGTGGCAGGCGTCTTTTCAGGATACAGAATTAGATCTATTTTTATAAAAGCGGTTTTCACAGGCATTCTTACATGTGAAATGCGACACGGGAAGCATTTAGATATCCAGAATAATTGCCACTTGACTACTTCATTTGTTGTTATTCGAGAGCCATCTGAAAGACTAAATTGAAATGTTGGCTTTTTAAGTGGTTTTAGTAATGTTTAAAAAAAAACTCACTTGTATATTGCCTTTAGCAATGTTCTCTAGTTTTGGACGAGTTCAACTTTACTTTAAAATTACAGTTTTCTGTACCTCGTTACTCCTTGTTACTACATTTTTCCAAATTATTATTTGTAATCATTTTCAGCCATAAGTTATAGGGCTGCTGGCTTTCACCAACAGATGAAAGTAAAGGAAAATGTGAAATTCAACAGTTTTTTTTTTCACTTTAATTATTCACTTCTCTTACAAAAGCTGTATCGCAATATATAAGTAATTAGAAAATTTTTACAAAACAGTTGCTAAGCTCACAGGTGAGCAATTACAGAAGAAACCAAGAGGGTGGAAAACAGCTTACAAAGGAACAAAACAAATGTATTAATTTCCTTCTGTGTCTTCATCTCCTTTATTTGTCCTAATTAATTTTGTCCTTCCAACAACATGAGGAGATGGGCAGTTTCTCTGTTTCACAGAGGACGGGGGTAGAAAGCACACTTTAATTTACTCAGAGGGTCCAACAGGCATAGTCACACCTGGATTTGGAACCAGGTTTTATACCCCTTTTCCTGTTCTTCCTCCTCCGTGGTGCTACGCAGTCCTTTCCAACCACAGATTCTCTTTACTGGAGTTCAATTAGTAGTAAGAACTGACTGCTTTTGAAGAAGGTAGGTATTAATAAGGCTGTCCATCAACATAACCATCCATGCTAATTTCCTTATTACTCAGGATTTAGGGCAAGGCACTTTGGACTCAGTTTATCTGACTGTTAAAATAACATTGGCACCTAAAGTTGCTATAAAAATTAACAACAACATCCAAAAATGTTCTTGGGCTGAGACGCTCCAAAGAAGTCCCTAGAGGAGTAACTCTCCTTTTTAAACAGGTGCTAACGTCTAAAGATCCTAAAGATTCAGACTGGCCTGACAGTAAGAATCTCTTGAGGTGCTATGAAGAGATTCCAAGGCCTTTCCAAAGAGATTCTCCTTTCGGAGATTGGCCAGAATGCCTGAAACCTGCATTTATAGCAAGTATCCTTGATGATTCGCTTTATGAGACATGTATGGGAAATACAGCCACAGCATTGGCTCAGGATGATTTAATTAATTGAAGATGATGGTATTTTAAGAGCAATTTTGGAATTTTAGATTGTTGTGCTTTGTAAAATAATTCAGGTAGAGTCGTGATTATTGGAGAAAAATGATCACTTAGATTATACCACCAGTAAGTACTCTGTTTGACGTTTAACTCTGTAATTCTCCATTCCAACACATGTACCAGAGATCCACCAGAATGGGTAAATGGAAAAAGATGTGGAGCAGTGGAACTCTCACACCTTGCTAGTGGAAATGCAAATTCATTCAGCCACTTGGGAAAACGAAGTGGCAGTGTCTGCTCAGGCTGAGCAAACACCCTGCAACCCAGCAGTCCCACTCCTAGATCACACCCGGCAGAAACATGCGCTTGGACGTTCATAGAAACATTCAGAAGAGCTCAGAGCTGGAAACTTCCCAAGTGCCCGTCAGTAGTAGATTGGATAAGCCAATGATGGTCCATTGACACAGTGGGACGTTGTCATGCAGTGAGAACCTGCTACTACCTGCAACAGTAAAAAGGACCACCCCCCCCACATTATGTTGCAGGAAAGAAGCAGACACGCAAAAAAATGCGTTTGACTAGCTTTGTAAATGCAATCGAGGCAGCGCTACTACGTGCTGTTAGCGATCTTGAGGAGGTGGTTTGAGGGGTGATTCTGATTGCTGGTAATTTTCTGCTTCTTTAGAGTGCTGGTTACACACAGGTGTCTGCTGTGTGAAAATTCATGAAGCTCACATGTGACCTTATCTGTAATATCCTACTTGAGGTTTTAAAGCATTAAAAAGAAATGCTTGGTGGTTTAGTTAATTGTTGATTTGGTAAATTTCCTGGTTTTGCTATGGTCTGTGGTTATGGAAGATGCTACTGGAGGAAAACTGAGTGACAGCTACATGGGGCCTTTCTGTGTTCTTATTGCAACTTACTGCGAATCTATTTCAATTTTAAAAATTATTTAAAGGGAAGCTAAATTAGGTCAATGCGATTATTCGGGGCTCAAATGGATGAACAAACGACCTGATCTTTTAAAATGATCCATGTGGCTATATTAAACATTCCACGTTGCTTTTGCTTTTAAAGAAAGTGGCCAAAGCCCCTGTTTTCTGCCTAAAAATGCTTCTCTGGGAAATTTCATCCCTGGTGGGCAGTGTCAGTGTTGTTTTAATGCATACTTCATCGTCAGCAAATCTGTATGACTGTTAATATGAGTCTTTCAAAAGGCTCTTTCAGTAAGTTAAAATAAAGTAGTTAACAAAGTGTATTACAGTAAATATCAAATCCTTAATGGATTCCACGGTCTTTCTAGTTTGGAATCTGGGCGTGCGCTCAGCCAGGCACACCTGTCAGTCACTTTCTGTGGTTTCTCACGCAGGCATACATTACAGTTCTGTGTTTTCATAGGTTTCAAAGTACTCACGCTGGAACACTCCTTTGTAGACAGGCTATCTCTGTTGAGATTTCTAAATATATATCTAGCAAACTAGGGGACCAGTTAACATTTTTTTTTCCTTATCTCAGCGTGATGGTTACTCTGGGATGTTGGCTGGAGCACGGGAAGACGGCGGAGTTCATCTTAACACCTGTTGGATGTTTGTCTTAAATGATAAATAGGGCACTTAAACAGTGACGTGTGGCAGGGGAGTGGCCTGCGTCGTGGTTCGTATGTTCATCTTCCCTTCTAATTCCTTCTCATCAGAGTTTTCTGATCGCTTATCTGGCTTCCTGTTAATGAGTTTATGAGATTTCTTACACTGTCTCATTACAGTGAGACAGTAAAATTCTTCATGAATAAAATTACATCAGACCTGGATAGTTCGGGTTGATAATGATAAGTGATTTGCCCGTAGACCTGTCACTTTCTAAATGTGGTTAGCAGTGTCATAAACGTCTTGTTCACTTGATGTGCTTCTAATAATATTTTTAACCCTCCCAAGGGCACTCCTTAAAATTGCACAGTAATCCTTAAATTGTGTGTGTGCTCTAGGTTTTCAGTGTTCTGCCATTAAAATTGGATAACCTTATTCAGCCTTTTCTCAGTTCATGAGCAACAAATTAATGCATATACAATTCTCAGTTTTGATTTTCAATAACACATTTTAATTAAGCCTACTATTTGCTAAAGGAATACCAGCAAACCACAATAATAGAATTAAGTAATAAATGAACATGAACCCTAAACTCCAAAGCCAGGCATCACACTAGTTTTATTATCTTTCAAATTCTTGGATACATATTATGTTACATGCACTTAATAAAGTCTGTTTTGCTGCTGTGGAAGTCATACTTAGCTTTCATGATAGAATCAAATGTATCAGTTTTTCATGCTGTTTATATGCAAAGCAGTGGCGTTCCAGAAAGAGTGGCACCACCTCTTGATACCAGCAGAAGCATGAAAAACTGTTTCAGGAGATCTGAGTGTTATAGTAAAATATGCTTGCTAACTAAATAGATGGGAATTTAAATTTTGAATGTAATTTAAAATAATTGGGTTTTATAAACCTATTATTTTTTGTATTCAGTTACTTTTTTCCCACATTTTTCCTTTTATAACATTGACATATAATTTAAATTAATACACTGCACATATTTTAAATGTACACTTAGATCACCTATATACACACACGTAAAATCATCACCAGAGTTAACATAGTGAACATTTTCATCTCCTCAGAAAATTTTCCTGTGCGCTTTCTAATCCATCCTCCATCCCTGTGCCCGGGCCACCACTGATCTACATTGCATTCTGTCACTGTAAGATCAGTTTGAAGCATCTAGCATTTTATATGAGTAGAATTATACAGTGTGTTTCCCCCTTTTTTTTTTTTCTTTTTTGCCTGGCTCATTTCATTCACCATGGTGAGTTTGGGATTCATTTATGTTGTTTCAGAGATCAGTAATTCATCCCTTTTAATTGCCAAGTAGTGCATTGTATAGAAATGCCACAGTTTGTTTATCCAATTACCCGCTGATGGATACTTGGGGGTTTCCCCCATTTTTGGCTATTACAAATAAACCTAATATGAGGATTGTATTCAAGTCTTTTAATGGACTTTTTTTTTTCCTTCTCTTGGGGAAATAAGTAGAAGTAGAGTGGCTAGGTCATATGGTTAAGTGTATGTTTAATTTTTAAAGAAACTGCCACTGTTTTCCAAAGTGGTTAAACCCTTTTACTACCAACTAACAGTGTATATAAGATCCAGCCGCTCCACATCCTTGCGAACACTTGGTATAGTCAGTCTTTTAAATTTTTTATCAGTGTAACGTGTGTAGTAGTATCTCATTGTACTTTGATTTGCATTTAACTCATGACTAATGATGTTGAGCATAATTTCATGGACTTGGACACTTACATATCTTCTTTGGTGAAGCATCTGTTGAGATCTTTTGCCCATTAAAAAAAAATACATTGTTACTGAGTTTTGAGAGTTCTTTATATATTCTGGCTATGTGTCCTTTACTGGATAAATGTGTTACAAATATTTTCTTCCAGTCTGTATGGCTTACCTTTTCAGTTCTTAATGGTGTCATTGAAAAAGCAAAAGTTTTAAATTTTGACAAAGTCTAATTTTATCAATTTTTTTCTTTTATGTTTTATGCTGTTTGTGTTCTGTCTAAAAATTCTTTGCTATCTCAAGGTCACAAAGACATCCTCCTGTTTTTTCCTAGAAGTTTTATAGTTTGGGGTTTTATGTTTGGGTCTTGATCCATTTCAAGTTAATTTGTTGTGTTACTATTTAGCAGACTTTCCATGCTGGTGACCTCAGGAGGAAACTGTTCAGTCTTTTACCATTATGTACGATGCTGATGCATTGATACCCTTTATTTGTTTGAGGGCATTCCCTGTGATTCCTGGTTTGCTGAGACTTTATTGTGAATGGGTGTTGAATTTTTTTCTAATGCTTTCTCCACGTATATTGAAATGACCATGTGTTAGTCTACATTCTGTTAATACAGTGAAGTCCACTGATTTTCAGATGTTAAGCCAATCTTTCTTATGATCTGGTATCTTTAAAAAATATATATGTGTTGGTGAACTTGACTTGCTGGTATTATTGTTAAGGACTTTGCACCTAAATTTATGATGGATATTTGTCTGTAATCTTCTTCTTTCCTGATGTGTTACATTTTGCTATTAAAATTGTACTAATATCATAAAATTAATTAAACCATGATCCCTCCTCCTAGTTGCAGAAAATGTTTATGTAAGATTAGTGTTATTTCATCCTTGAATGGTTGATAGACTTCACCAGCCATCTGGGCCTGGAGTTTTCTTTTGGGGAAGGTTTTAAAAACTAAGTTTGACTTATTTAATAGATGCAGGGCTATTCAGGTTTTTCTGTCTCCTCTTGTTTCCATTTTGATTCATTCTGTTTTTCAAGAACTCTGTCCATTTGTCTAAATTGTCAAATATGTTGGCATTAGATAGTGCATAATATTCTCCTTTTTTATCCATAGGATCTATACTAGTAACTCCTCTTTCATTCTTTATATTGGTGATTTTCTTTTTTCATTGATCACTGTAACTAGATTTATAAATATTGTTTTCTTTATTGCCTATCTTCTTTTTTTTTCAATTTTGTTAACTTCTATTCTTTACTATTTTCTCCTGCTTCTCTGGTTTTATTTTGGTCTTCTCTTTCTAGCAATTTTTAAGATGAAGCTTCAGTCATTGATTTTAAATCTTCTTTTTTAATATAAAGATTTATGGCTATAAATTTCCCAGTGAGCACTGTATTATCCTATAGGTTTGAGGTTGCATTGTCATTAACTTCACAGGACTTTCTCACTTCCTTTGTTATTTCATCTTTGAACCATCAATTATCCAGAAGTGTGTTATCTAACTTCCAGGCATTTGAGGCTTTTCCTGGATATCTTACTATTACTAGTTTTAATTATTTTGTGCTTAAGGAGTATACTCTTCATGATTTGGGTTCTTATAATTGTCCATTTCTCCATTTACCTCAGATAAATTTTGCTTTATGTATTTTGAAGCTTTGTTACTATGTATGGACAAACTTATAATTGTTAAACATTTCCCTTTTATCATTATTAAATTTTCCTCTTTATCTTTTACACTTTTTCTTGGGGTCTTTTTTATCTGGTATTAAAGTAACCACTTCAGCCTTCTCATGCGTACTGTTTATATGCGATATCATCTTTATTTACTTTCAACTTATCTGTGTCTTGTAGACAGTATGTTCTAGGATCTTGCTTTTTTACCCATTCTGTTGATCTCTGCCTTTTAATTGGAATATATAAACCATTAACGTTTATTGAGTTAATGAAATGACTGAATTTAAGCTACAATTTTATTATTTGTTTTCTGTTTATCCCTCTGTTTTCTTTTCCTTCCTTGTCTACTTTTTTGGGGGAGGGAGTATTATTTGAATGTTCTTTAGGGTTCCATTTTAATTTACCTATTGGTTCTCTGCTTATATCTCTCTTCATTTTTTCCTGAGTGCTCTAGGGGTTACAGTATGCATATATCTGACTATTCACAGTCTGCTTGGAGTTAACTGTGTGCTATTTCCCATAAAATACAGAAATCTTGCAATCATGTAAGTCCCTTCACCTCCACTTCTCTTTGTGTATTTGTCAAATGTATTATATCTGCATACATTGAAAACTCTACCAGATAATATTACAACATTAACCTTAAATCAATCTTAGATATTCTAAGGAACTTAAGAAGAAAAAACTAGATCTCTATACTTACTCAACTATTTATTCTGTTGTTCTTGCCTTCCTAACATTTCCTTTGAGCCTGAAAAACTTCCTTGAATATTTCTTTTCAAACAGATACGCTGGTGAATTCTGTTAGTTTCTCTTCATCTGAGGAAGTCTTTATTTTTCTTTTATTCCTGAAGGATATTTTGACTGAAGCACTTTTCTTTTAAGTACTCTAAAGATATTATTTCTTTGATTTCTTGTTTGGATGGTATTTGGTAAAAAGTTGGTAGTTACTGGTCATTATTCCCTTGTCTATATTGTTTGGGGTTTTCTTCCTAGATGCTGTCAGGAGTTTTTATTTATCTTTGGGTTTTAGTTGTTTGGTTATGATGTGCCCAGGCATTATTTTCTTTGAATTTTTCCTATTTGGGATGTATTGAGCTTCTGAAATTTGTACAATGTATGTCTTTTTAGCATTAAATACATAAAAATACATGTTTTCAGCTTCAGTCTTTTTCAGTCCCTCTTGCATCCCCATTACACATCTGTTAGATGTTTCACTATTTTTATACAGGTCCCTAGGGCTCCATTTATATGTTTTCAATCTTTTTTGTCTTTGTTGCCCAGATTTTATGATTCCTACTGACCATCTTCAAGTTCACTGGCACTTTTCCCTGTCATTTCCATTCTGCTGCTGGGCTCATTCAGTGGTTTGTTTTTATTAAACATTGTGTATTTCAGTTCTAACATTGCCATTTTGTTCTTTATAGTTGCTGTTTCTCTGCTAAGAATTCATATTTTCATTTTTTTCAGATGTGTTTTCCTTTACCTTACGAGGCGCAGTTATAACAGTGGCTTGCAAGTCTCATTTTAGTTGTAACCAGCAGGAGAGACAGACATGCAGTCAGGTCTTCACTTGCAGTTTTCACTGACACTTGCAGTGTCAGCACTGCAGTTCCTTGGGGGAGTTGTTTCTGTTTTTAAAGTTAATCCTGTATTTTCTGCTCCTTTATAATTCAGTAGCAAATAATTAGGCAAACTTACTGAGAGTTTAGAAGTTCTCTTGTACTTCAAGAAGATGTTTATAATAGCACATAACTTTGCTTTCGGTTAGTAAAACAAGACATTGATGGCTCACACTATGTGCTGTGTGTGGAATATAGTAAAATAATTTGAGTTTACCTTGCAACCTAGTGAGCAGTAGACTTGTTTCAATGAATAAAGAATAAATAATGATAATCAGAATATTATTTGCAAAAGAAAAGAGTTTTTCCTTAAGGGTCGAAATGCCCTTTTTATTTAATTAACACATTAAAGCCCCTTCAAAGTAATTAAGAACACAGACGTAAGGCAATTAATTTTGAATCCGTCTTCAATCAGTATAACTTTAATATCAGTGGAAAAGCTGAATTAATGACATTCCTATATTTTATTAGCTAATTTGCTTTTTTATAAGTTTTAAAGTCCTGTTTAAGAAAAGTCCTTTCATCAAACACATGATAATTCCTTTTTAGTATTTTCATTAAAATGCAGACTTTTCTGAACTCTTTCTAATTAAATCACAGATACCACCAGACCAAGAAGAAGCCAGGAGAGTGATGGTGTTGAATATATTTTCATTTCCAAGCATCTGTTTGAGACCGATGTACAAAATAACAAGTACGTGGGGTTTTGGGGGGGTTTTTTTTAGAATTTTTGTGGGACTGTTTAAGCATGTGCCAGTATATCCATTTATAGACAACTGAGGGTCCCCTTCCATTTGAAATATATTTTCATTTTTATGAGAATATTTGAAACTGATAGAGAATTCAGTTGGTGGTTATTACCAGTCTTTGCCTGTAATTTTTTAATCACCTAGAGTTGTTGTGTTTCTGTTAAATGTGGAGCAATTATTTTGAAGAATGAGGGAAGGTTGCATATTACTGTGACCCCTTTCCACCCGACTAGTTCAATCTTAACATACAACTTGGATAGAACTTCATTTTAAAAACTAACAACTGTGTAATAGGTCCCTCATTCCAGTCTTTTCCATACACCTCTTTCTCTCTCATTGGCTCTTCAAAAAAAACTGAAGTAATGTTAGTCATCTTGTTTGTACCATATCCTCCAGCTAACTCTAAGGCTCCTACCTCCAGGTTTTTCCATTTGCTTAAGGATGAATATTTTATGGTATCAGGGAGCAATGGGTGTTTTAATGCAGGATTGTGGGATTTTATTGAAACATCAAAATCCTTTTTTTTTTTTTTGCATTTGGCACAGTGGTTGTGTTTTTATAGCATGTAATTGGCTGCCCTGGTTCCATTAGCCACCAACCAGTTCCTCCTCTAGTTCTGAGGCTGAGCTCGGTTATTTTTTTGTGTGCAGTGAAATTTCAGTAGTTTCTATTGTTTGGCTTATTCACTGTTTTATTGCACTGCATTAGTTCTGAAAAAGAGGTGATGGAAAACATTAGAGCACTGCTGGGCTAAAGTGCTTTTTTCTGCTTAAGTGTAATACAAGCCAGTGTCACTGATTTGAAAATGTAAAATACTAGATTTTTTTCAGAAATTGACATTCTGGAGTACTTGGACCTATTTATTTTATTGAAAACAGTTTAAAAATTACATGTTCAGAAAAACATCTTTTATATGTATATGAATTATGTCTTGCCATATATGCATAAAATTCATGAATGATTCTAATTTTCTGCAGGTTTATTGAATACGGTGAATATAAAAACAACTACTATGGTACGAGTATAGACTCCGTTCGGTCGGTCCTAGCTAAGAACAAAGTTTGTTTGTTGGATGTTCAGCCTCATGTAAGTGAACAGTGAACCATTCAACACCCTTCCCGCCCGTGTAATCTACCACGTTTGAGCATTTCAATATGGGGTAAATCTGAAATCTACTCACTTTGGCATAGAGGTAGCTTTCCTAAGGTGACAAAGCATTTAAATATAATTCGAGGAGTCTGCTGGGTCGGGAGAGGGGGAAGCCCACATTATTATTAGAAACAAGGAGTTGGGGAAGCCTCCAGATCTGTGTTTGTAACTCACGTTTATACTTAGTGTTTGCCAAGTATAATGGCTCTTAGATATTTCTTCCATTTTGTATATAATGTATTCTTACACATTATTATAAGTGTTTATAGTTTTTGACCACGGAGATTTTGGTTCTCAGCCAGCTTTCATTGATTTTGGTTCTCTAAGTACCCTAGAAGTGTAACTTCCCCATCACGAAGAGCCACAGGCATCTCTCAGGAATTGTCTGCGTGTGACCATTATAGCGGCTGTCAGGTAGAGCTTGCCTGGCACCCTGGGAACTCATGAACACTGTGGACCGAGTGCCAGGGGATGAAGCCATTCAGTTCCCTGTCTCACTGCATACCCTCCAGCAGAAATCCAACCCACAGCATTTTCCTCGTTACCCAGGGGGGAATATTGACCAGCTTCCTGAAAAGGCCTCTGAAGGGCAGAATGAAAGGGAAGGGAGAGCTCAGCCTGAGATCAGGAAGAGGCTTAAATGGAATGGTTGGAAGACTTTCATGTAAAGATAGTTAACTCATAGCATCTTTTTGGGTATTAGATCTAGAAACCAGGTTCTTGGCATTTTTAAATGTTTCTGTTCAGTACTAATTAGGACATATTTCAAAGCATTTTTAAAGACAGGTTATAGTCTCCATCTTTTCAGAGGCTTATTTCATTTCACATGTTGATCACCTGCCATGGATCGGGTGCCCCCGAGGAAACACCACTGTCACCTAGGTTTAGGTGATGTGGCGATCAGTGTGTTAACTGTCAACAACTGACTGAGTAGCAGTATACTGAAAGGCATACTGACCTTCAGTAGAAAATAATTTTAAGGAATTTTCTCCTTAGAAAGAAACTTCAATTTCACTGTTAAACTCACTGCTGATGTTATGAAGAAATATAAGAAAACTTGTTTTCTTCCTTGCAGACAGTGAAGCATTTAAGGACACTAGAATTTAAGCCCTATGTGATATTTATAAAGCCTCCATCAATAGAGCGTTTGAGGGAGACGAGAAAAAACGCAAAGATTATTTCAAGCAGAGATGACCAAGGTGCTGCAAAGCCCTTTACAGTAAGTACGACGATGCTTTACTGAAGATACATCAGCAGAACTTGAAATCCTGCATGCAGTAGTGACGACCTCGGGAAGACTGTTAGGGTCTACTAGATGATGCATTGTGGGAGGCTATAATAAATACAGTCTCTTATAGAGGAGGCTGTGATCCAAACACCCATGCAAGGCAGCGTGGTATTTAGGTACATATATTTTGAGTGACTGCTTTTTGTGCTTCTGGGAATGGACCCTCATATTATGTTGACCCAAAACTATTTTGTATGCTATCATGCCTACTTAGGAAATTTTTATAGGCACATACAGAAAGTTAGACTGCTTAGTTTTTAACTAGCCTTATTTTTAAAAGAAAAAATACCAAAATCAGTTACTATTACTCTTTAATAGCCTAGATGAAAATTTTAATAATTTGCCTTTTTGTATCTTTGTATCGACATATTTAGCATAGGAAAAGAAAGAGCCTCATTTTGGGTATAGCACAAGTAGACCCATATTATTCAATAATAATATTGCACTTCCTTTGAGTGTTATTAGAAATGGCCACCATGGTGTGGTAATGGTGTGTGTTAATAGTGTAAAACTGTGATGTGTTAGACTAAAATGATTTCTGGCAAGGCCTTTCATTTTTTGTTTTGCTTTGTTTTGAACCTTAAAATAATGTATTCTACTTTAGGATCAAAAATAAAAAGCAAAAATATTTAATGTCGAGTTTTTTCTTCCCACTCTATCTTAGTTAACTCATCTTTAACATTAGCTGTATTAATTTGTCAACTATTAATTGTGGTTACCAAGTACAGATTATGTTTTTGACTCCCAGTGTTTCATTAGTATCTTTTTTCTAAAGTAGTGACACTATACAACCAATCTGAGTGGGTACCATTATATGATGTTAATTACTCAGGGCCCTTGATTAACACTAAAATGAAAATTTCTGTTGTGAAAATCTGTGACATTGAAATGTGGACTCTGAAATGACTCCAGGTTGTTGCAGTTACTGTGCTAGTTATTGTAGCAGTATACCATTTAAAGGCTTATCAGCGAAGATGATACAAGATAGCATAGCCGTAAGATTTAGCTCATTTATATTTATGGATACAGTTGGCATAGTCTTGTTATTATAATCAACTGAAATTCTTTCTGGTTTCAAAATGTGAGTATGACAGGTCCCTGACCCACTTCTACTGAGACACAGAAGGACACGGTATGAGTGTCCTTTTATAAACGTGTCTGGAACAGTAGTTCATGTTACACGTTCCTCGCATGGACAGCACAGTCAAGAGCATCAGGGTAAACAGCTGCCTCCCACAGCTGCTTTAATACTGCAGTATCCCTACAGTGATAACGTGGTGACTAATTATCCTGACATTCAGGTGGAGGCGGGAGTTTTGACTCTGGTCAGAGCAGTTTGGTTACAAGCAAATCAGAGAGACAGTGTTAGACATTGTGGCTTCTGAAGAACTTACACTTTAAGGGGATAATTTTCTTTCATGGCTGAGGTGAAATAGTGAACACAGGACAGCCTTAGGTAAAGCAGTTGTGCAGTGTTTGCACTGATGTGAAGTGATGAAACTGCCTGGTTAACCAGTTTTTTTAAAAACTTCTTTTGTAGGAAGAAGACTTCCAAGAAATGATTAAATCTGCACAGATAATGGAAAGTCAATATGGTCATCTTTTTGACAAAATTATAGTAAATGATGATCTCACTGTGGCATTCAATGAGCTAAAAACAACTTTTGACAAATTAGAGACAGACACCCATTGGGTCCCAGTGAGCTGGTTACATTCATAACTAAGGGAGATGTCCACTGTCTTTTTTGTAGAGTGCATGATTAACTCAGTTACCATTTTGGTGTTGGGGTTTTTTAAAAACTGTATCACTGTTATAGATGTGCAATCTTCGTTAAAATTGAATGTTGGTTTTATTTGTGTCTTTTTACAATCTTATTTCAAACACAGTGTTTGAGTATAAGATCCAAAATCAAAATTGGCACAGTACTGTATTCTGAGCAAAACTTTGAACTCTCTGGATGTCTTTAACATATATCTCCAAGATGAGGTTGAACTTTTTAGAGAGACAGGTGGGTGTTCAGTGTTTCGGTTGGTCTCAGACGTGGTCCCCTGCCATTGAGATTGCATGTTAGCTGTTGAAGGTATTAACTTAGCAGCCTTGACCAGCTCCAGACAAGACAGCTTTGTTGTCTTTGGGTGGCTCACCATAGATTCATCTGGGCTGGCAGCAACGTGCAGTCCTCTTAACTATTCTAAAAGGACAACCTTTTTCTTACATAGATACAGTATATTCACAGTGTGTGCATTTAAGAATCTTTATACTGAGAATTTGCCTTAGTGAATGGTCTTTGTGTCACAATTTAAGAAGATCTTTTGAGTGCGTATCAGTAACTCAACAGATATTTTATAAGGGAAGATAGACTTTTAAAAATTACTACATATATAACTAAAAACCTCAAGAATTACTACATATGTAACTAAAAACCTTTCCTTATGGCTTTAATCTTAGTAATATGTTGGAGCAAGTCATGATTATAAAGGACAATTTTATTTGTAAGTCCTCAGACAATTCTGGAGTCACCAGAAATTCTGGAGCCAGGCATCTGGCTTTGGATTTTCCCCATAAATGGTAAGAACAATTCCTAGTCTAAAAGTAGGTTTTTCATGCTACTGATACAGTTAAAGGAAATGTGCTCATTTTTCAAGTATGTGCAACTGATCACCGTATATTTAAATTGCATTACATGATGTGTTTCAGGAAACTTTTCATGTACTGGTAACTTATTTGTCATTAAACTATTTCATGGGCTTGATACCATACTAATCTTGCCATTTTCAAATAAGTTTAAGACTGTGATCTTTAGATGGGATCTCATTTTTGATACTAGTGATCTTCAGCAGGTGAATTATATGGCTCAAAATATGAGAACTTTCTATAGTTGTATCAGAGAACATGTCCTCCCACTCTTGTATGCAGTAAGACCCTGCCAGTCAAAAGTCATCGCGTGTATGACTTTCAAACAGAAAAGAAATTATTTTTTGTTGATTGTAAAGAGAGTTTAGATATCATGTTTAAAGAAAAATAGTATGTAGTGAAATTTTATATATTTATGAAACATTTGAAAGGCATATTTTTTTAATTCCCAAATGGAGCTATTCATAAAGTAAATTGTATGTAAAGATGTCATAATTTAAAATAGTAGTTTTATAAGTCATGGTCAACATTCCATGTAAATACTTGACCTTTATTCGTACATGGAGTCACAAATGTGTTATCTGTGCCCTGCACACTGGGTAGCATGATTCAGTGGGTTTCCTTCAGGCACATCAGATTTCACCTCAGAAACAGACAGAAGTTACTGCAGTGGCCTTGGTACACAGAGCAAAACAGATAACCTGACAATGTTACTTAACTTAGAACTTGCTATTTGGACTATGTTCTTAAATAGCAAGCAGTTTAGTTTAAAAAGGGGTTGGAGGGGTTGCCAAATCTGAAACTGATGCCAGACTTTAAAGTTGTGTGGCTGGTCTAAGAAAATACAAGTCTCTCTTACTGAGATGGTTTGATTAGAATATTCTCTTTGAACACTGATTTCGGATCAATCAAGGCTTCCTATAAAGAGTCATAGGAAATGAATTAGGATTTAGGCAGTCCAAATTTTTTGTTCTGAACTAATACATGGTGGATTTTTTTTGGTTGGTTCTTCGTCTTTTTCATTTGCAGATAATTACCTCAATTCTTTACTGTGGAGGTTAGAGATACTGTAAAGTGGTGGAAACAGAGTCCTTTTTGGTGGTGGTGATGGAGGTGTTAATAAAAATATAATTGTCCAACCTTTCTCCCTTTTTACACTAGAGCTGAACAGTATTTTTTAAAATAATGAAAAGAAAAGTGGCACTTCAGCAAGCTGAGAAATCTTTTATCAGGTAATAAACATACATGGTCTTGCAAGTGACATTTACATGGCCACCTTCATTCTTAGAAAGAGATTCAGTTAAAATTGACTAACGCAGGGCCAACTCCAAGGGCTCGTTAGTAAATGTAGCAAAGGGCCCTTGACTCTGCACCTGCAGCCCCCCGCCCCCTCTCTAGCAAGGAGGGACTAGTTCTGCAGGCAGCCTGCTCCCGAGACAATGTCAGCCACTATTTGAGAGAATAGTAACATTTATTTTTTTAAGTCCATATATTTAAAATCTAAGATCAAGAAAATAATTCTATATTCCCATTGTTAACAAATCAGAAGCTGTTTTTTTAAAGAAGAGTGAATTGAAATATAATTTTTTACCATTGTTTCACTTACCAGTATAGATATCACTGATACCTTTAAGGCTGATGTTCTGGTGTTATGTTACGATTGAATGTATCTAAATTGTAATAATTTAAAATTGACAAATATGTAAAACAAAGCTATGTTGTTAAGTTTCCTGATGATACAGATTTTTATTATTTATTTTCTTTCTGACTAGTAAGAGTTTATAAATAAATGTAATGGAAAACCCTTGATCTTAATAAATAAACTATCTTCAAATTATGTACGTATGTTTCGTATCAACTACACTGTTTCCCATGGGAGAGCAAATTCTGTTTTTTACTGATATTGAGTGATTTTTTTCTTCCAATGACTTATTTGAACTCGCCATATCTAAAATAAAAATTTCATATCTTTTTCAGACATTCACTGGTTTCCTCAAGGTTGTTGGAGAGATGGAGCTCACTAGCCTTGCTCCTTCTCACATAGGACAACCATTTCACAATTCTGGAGAAGAGTGGGAGGGTTGATCCAGCCCGTCCACGATGGGAACGCTCCTCCCCCACTCTAGTTAGGCAAGGCTTTATTTTTTCATTTGTACACGTGAGGACACACCACCAGCTGCTGATTCAGACGAGATAATGAGCATTGGCCTTGCTTCAGTGGTTGAGCTTACTAGCCCCACCTTTGCTTCCACCAAGAGACTAGGATGTAGCAGTTGGGAGCATGAGAGCTGGAGCCTGAATTTGGAAGTTCAGATTCTGGCTTTGCCCATGACTAGCTTTACAACCTTGAGAAAATCAATAATCTCCCTGGTCACTGACTTTCTCATCAGAAACATGGAGATGGTAAAAGTGCTTACCTCTTAGGATTGTTGTGGGCATGAAATGAAAGAACTGATCCATGTAAAGTGCTTGGAACAAAACCTGGGATAGAAGTCACCTGTAATCGTAAGCTTCTGTTTTATCTTGATCATTCTCACATCACACAGTTTAAAGGCAGCTATATGAATATTCTTAATTATCCCACACAAACACTTCTATTGGTAAATTCACTGGGAGCTTCCTAACAATTTCTATTACCAGCTTTCTTATTTAATAAAAAATTCCAAGGGAGGTGCCAAGATGGGAGTAGGGAGACTCACAGCTCGCCCTCTCCCACAAATACACCAAGAATTACATGTACAGACCCACTGAATCACACAGAACACCTACTGAATGATGCAAATAAGACTTTCCAGTAGTGTCAGACTAAAAAACCCTGCCAGTGTCTCTCTCTTTGAAATACAAGAGGATTCTCCCAAAATCCAGTAAGAGAAAAAGGAAAAAATCAGTGCAGGACTGGTCCTTCAGGGAAGGAGTGGCACAAGAAAGGCACCCTCACGCTGGGATGCCCCCTCTCCAGCTGCGAGGTCAGCGGGGATGGAAGTGGAGCTTCCAAGGGTCCGAGGAGAAACTGTAGCCACTTGGCAGACAGAATGAACAGAAACTGGCACAGAGGATCCCTGTGATCCCCAGCCCTAGACACGAGCCCTCAGGGAAAAGCCGAGACTGGCTGCTGGAGATCAGGGACAAGCCTGGGGACAGGGCTGGGACCCACTGCACAGAGGCAGCCTCAGGACTGGAGGGTGGTGTGAGATCTGGCTGGGGGTGTGTGTGGAACAGAGCAGCCTGGGACCCCCATAAAAAAGCATCACTGCTGGTGTGGGGAGGGGGTGCACAACACAGCAGCACCATAGCCACTTTGCCCACTTGGCTCTATTGTTGTGTTCTCAAGAGAAGGGATGTGGGGCTTGGTCTTAGCCATCACTGCAGTTTGGAGTGGGGCTGAAAGCTGAATCCACACCCAGCAGTCCTGCAACTTCACAGGCAGGACTGATTTATTTACAGCCCCAGGCAGAGAGGGTGGCTCTCTGGACCATTTGTGGACCCTTATCTCTGGGATGAGCATGCAGTGAGCAGAGTTCTGGTGCAAGGCGGGGGCCAGCACAGGTATTTACAACAGGCCTGTGTACTAGACCATATACATGGAGGTGGGGCTGGGGTCTGCCCTGCCCCTGAGGTGCACCACAGATTCAGGCATGTAACGGCATGCTCACTCCGGCAGGTCCTAGGGCCTACACTGGTAGGTCTGCATTGGTGATTCCTGGGGCTCAGAACCTGGAGGACACCAGGGCAGGTGGCCAACATCCCTGTGGCTAAGGCAGGGACATAGGCAACATCAACAAAAAGTACCTTGTAAGTTCGCACAAGTTACAGACAACACCACAGAGGGCACTTCCTCTCAGACGTCTGTTGAGGGACACTCAGCGACTCGTCTTCCCAGCCGAAGTGCTCCAACCCTGTTGACCACACACAGCTCAGAAAGTGATCTAGAAGCCTCTACTCCAGCAACAGAGGAGCAGACCTGACCCCTGTCAAGCTGTGACAACCACAAAACAAAAAAGGAGGCCCTGCTCAACAAGAACAATCAGGGCAGGCTCTGATCACCACAACTCCAACCACATCCCCAAAGGGATAACAGCCAACACACGGAAGAAAGATGTGGCAACCATCCATACTAAAAATAACCCTTGCAACAAAACAGACACACACAGTCTACACGGGAATGCTCCCACTTTAAACAAAAAGAAAATAAAACAGCCCTTCAAGACCACAGTAGATAACTGATACTCCTAAATCCACAGAGCCAAAAAAATAAAAGCAAAATGAAGAATCAGAGGAATCACTCCCAATTAAAAGAACAAGAGAAGTCCCCTGAAAGAATGAACAATGAGATAGATCCCGACAGTCTACTAGATCATAACTAGTGATAAAAGCACTGAAGGAAATAAAAGAGACTATGAATAGAGACAGAGAATACTTTGAAAAAGAAACTGAAACTATAAAGAGGAGCCAATTAAAAACAAAACTTAGTGGCTCAGATAAGAGCCAAGCTAAAGGCAGTCAAAAGCAGACTAGATAATGCAGAGGAACGAATAAGTGACTTAGAAGACGCCCAATCAGAACAGCAGACAGAAGAGCAAGTAAAAACCAATGAAAGCAACATAAAGGACCTATGGGATAATATAAAGTATGCCAACCTACACATAATAGGGGTCCCAGAAGGAGAAGAAAGAGCAAAGGGGATTGAAAAGGTATTTGAAGAAATCATAACTGAAAACTTTCCAAACCTAAAGAACAAAACAGATATCCAAGTACAGGAAGCACAGAGGGTCCCAAACAAGAACCCAAACAGACCTGCACTAAGACATATTACAATTAAGTTGGCCAAAGTTAAAGAAATGGTTCTAAAGGTAGCAAGAGAAAAACAAAGAGTTAGTTACAAGGGAATCCCCATAAGGCTTTTAGCTGATTTCTCTACACAGACACTGCTGGCCAGAAGGGAGTGGCAAAATACATTTGAAGTCCTGAAAGAAAAAGGTGCAACCTAGGCTACTCTATCCAGCAAGACTATCCTTTAGAGCAGAAGAAGAGATAAAGAATTTCACAGACAAGCAAAAACTAAAAGAATTCAGCAATACTAACCTATCCTAAAGAAATATTGAAAACCCTACTCTAAATAGAAAGAAGCAGAAAGACTATAGAAATAAGTAAAACCAA